TTCATCTGATTATTTGTGGATTGTTTTATTTTATTTATTTTAAAGAAGGTATCTCACTGTGTAGCACATGCTGTCCACAAACTATATATCCCAGGGTGGCCTTGAATTTACAATCCTCATTCCCTCAGATTTCCCCAACCTAAAATTATTATGGCTAAAACAAATTTTGGAGTTAATGCAGTGTTTCCCAACACCAGGAACACGACGGAAGCCAGTAAAGGAGCTGGCAGCTGGGTGTGAGGTAACTGGAGAAGAGGCAGCAAAGGGATTAGGGAAACAGCAGAGCTGATCTCAGCAGATTCTAGCTGGCTCCCACAGAGCTTCTCTCTGAGGAACATCCAATAGGCACCTTTGCCTCTACTTAGTGTGTTGTCAACTTTGTGAGTACTTACATCTTTACACTATGTGTGTGTGTAACTGTATAAGACTGAACTGTGGGTGAAGACAGCTTCCAAGAAAGCCTCTTCCTTGCCAGGAAGGAAGATACCCAAAGACCACCCCAGGGGAGGGCAAGCAGAAGGAACATGGTACCTCAGGACCTCTAAGTTCAGATATTGGAGGCAGACTTTGACACTGCTGCTTTTTTGAACTATGCTCAAGATTACTTTGACTTCTTGTTCTACTTGGACACAGTAGAATTACCCTCCCTTAGAAGACAACAACCAAGATTGTTGGGGATAGAGGGAATGTGGGAGGGTAGATTTCCCCACAGTGTCTCACTACATATCCCACCTTAGCAAATGCTATGTGTGTTCCAGAATAGTCTTCAGATAATAATTTTGTACCTCAATGTCCTAGTATCTGGAATTGCTGGTATATACTACCATACCTGGACAAACATCTGTTTTAAAATCTATTTCTGTCTAAAATTAACATAGCTTCTTCAGCCATCATATCCTTTTAGGAATATAATTTTTTGCTAGCTTTTGAGAATTTCACATATGCAGATGATGCATTTTTTTATATCATATTCATTTCACTCTTCTCCGTAACTCCTTCCAAATGTATTCCCAACCTCACACTCTCTCCCAACTTTGTGTTCTCCTGAGCTCCTTTAAAAAATAAGCTGTTGATTACAATTTGTGCTGCCCTCGGTGTGGGGCCATTCACTGTAGAATGGTCTACCTACTGGAGTCCATACCCTTAAAGAAAACTGAGTCTCCTTTCTTGAGAAGCCCTCAGCTGTTAATAGCATCTCAGCTAGGGTTAGGGACTCATGAGCTCCTCCCCACTTCATGCTGAAGTGTTGATTGCTTGAACTGTGCAGGTCTTTTGTAGTCAACCACTGATGCTGCAAGCTGATGAGTACAGTGTCCTATTTAGTCTAGAAGACTCTGTTTTGCTCCAATCTTTCTGACCTTTGGCTCTTAACAATCTCTCTGTTCTGTCTTCCTTGATGGTCCCTGAGCCTTTGGTGCAGCCATTTTATTCTTACAGTTTACATGGAATATGTCAATTGATCATTTTTCTTCTGTTTAGCCAAAGAGCTAGTTAAATTTTGATCTTTGTTTTGAATACATTCTTATTATCTTGACCTTTTCATTAGAATTGTTAATGTTTGATTAGAATTATTTATTAGTCTTCAAGAAATGTCAGAGTGTAAAGTCAATCTTCAAAACAAAGAAGGTAGGAAGAGGTACCCTGACACTCCAGGGTTACACAGAGAAACCCTGTCTTGAAAAACCAGAAAAATTAACCAACCAAGCAAGCAAGCAAACAGAAAAAAAACAACAACCAAAAAACCAAAACCAAAACAAACAGAGAAAAAATTAAAGAGAATCTGAAATGAGGAAAGAAGTATTCATACATATAATGATCTTTTAGATTTCAAACATCTAATATCCCCCTATTAATAAGAGATCATTCGGGTGTGTTCCATATTAGTGGCTTCCCTAATCTCTGTTAGCAAACTCCTGACAAGAGAAAATTAAGAAAGGGGTTTTTCAATTTAAAAAGTTTTAATTTTTGAGCATTTTATACACAAGTACTGTTTATATCACTTCTTCACCTCCTCCTCTAACTCCTCCTGTGTTCCTCAAACTATCTCTCAAATTCATGACCTCTTTTTCTTTAATTATTATTTTACATGTGTACACACCCACATATAAATATAACCTACTGAGTCCATTTAGTTTTGCTTGTTTGTGTGTGTTTAGGACTGACTACTTGGGATTGGATAACCTATAATCCCTGAAGAAGACTGGTTCCCCTCTCTCAGCAGCCATTAATTGCCTATAGCTCTTCAACTAGGGGTGGGGTCTTATGAGATTTCCCCCATTCATGTTGACGTGACAACTGGTGCTGTCACTGTGCTAGTCTTATTTAGGTGACCATATTCAGATTTTATGGGTACAGCTCCTGTTGTAGATAGAAGACAATTATTCTGGCCCTCTGGCTTTTGTAATCATACTATCCCCTCTTCTGTGATGTTCTCTGAGCCCTAGGCATAGTGGTTGTATTGTAGATGCATCAGTTGGGTTGAGCACCCCATGGCCAGTTGTTCTCTGTATTTTGGTTTTGCACCTGCTCGAGGATACAGTCATCATGTTGGAAAGACACAATGGAATGAGGGGTTAGGGGCTATGGTGACAAGGGATGGAGGCTATCTACTCACATACTGCAGACTAGGAATGGGAGAATGGATAAGGACTGGTGCCAGGCTCTCTACTCAAAGTCTTCAGAGAAGCACTTCCTTCAATGAGGCCCCATATTCCAAAGGTTCTAGAACAATGCCACCATCTAGGGACCATGTGTTTCAACATTCTTTTTCTTTGGTGCAACTTTTTCTGTTTGTTGGGATACCTATATATCTCTGTACTTTTAGTTTATCTTTCTAATTGCTACATGGTGCTTCATAGTGGGAATCCATAATGAGTGTCCTGAGCCTTCTTCTGGGAATAGACAACTAGGTTACCACTAAAGGTTTGCTGTCTAAGAAGTAGAACATTTACCAGTTTTATAGATGATTCTTTCCTATGAGAATATGTATACTTTATATGATATACCTATGTATTGTTTTGACTGACCAAGTTTTACTAAGACTATCATTTTATCATTTCATCTAACACACCACTTTTTTATTCATTCCTTGTTCTAAATTGAAGCACACATTTAAGAATTATGAATATGTTATATAAATGTGCATAAAATAGAATGTATAATTAATGTCACAATGTAAATATGCTGTCGAGAGTAGCAGATACCACATAGTGGTTCCCTAGTTACCCAGCGTATGTAAAAATCAATACACATGCTTTTGTTCAACTGGTCAGAAAGGATTTCTCTTCTAGTTGGCAATAAAACTGAATATTGATTTTTTGGTTCTTTCCGTTTTGTATTTCTTCATTCTTCATCTGGCTTAATTATTTCTTTAGACCTTTGTACTAGTTCTTATGCCTGCATTGTGACTTTTAAATATCTGCACAAGGAAATGCAATGTTGTTCAGGGTCATTAAATCTAAACTCAGCAGAGAGAAGCTTTGATACAGGCCACCATCAGATATTCACAGATGTTCTGTGATACCACTTTAATCCACAGGCACTGAGGTCCTGGATGCCCAAGTGCTGATTTTGATAGCAATATGAAATACTGTGTGTAATCTATACTTTTCTGGTATGAATGTGAAGTATCACCCACAGAATTCTTTGTCCCTCTACTCGATGGAAGTCTTTTGGGAAGTTATGGAACATTTGGTTGTGGAGGCTAACTGGTAGAGTTGAGTTGGGTTATTTTCACAGTAGACCTGATGGAGATAGCACCTTCTAGGTTAAGTCTGAACTCTGCTGCCGGGGTCAGTCACCATGTGAGAAACTCTTACATTCTCCTGCCACCATGGAACCACTACACCATGCCTCCCCCACGATGTGTGTACTATGTGGAACTGTGAGCCAAAGTCAAATCCTTCTCCCCTGAAGTTGGTTTAATCAAGTATCAAGTATTTTGTCACAGCAACGGAACAAGTATACATGTTAAATGCATAATTTAGTAAGAGCTATTTATATTATGTTAAAACTCCAATGTTCTATACCCATCTTGTGGCTTGAATTAGTAGGAAAAATACTGGTAACAAATCAGAGAAAAGGCTTTGGTTCATACTGTTTACAAGCACAGAAAGTAGCTTTGCAGGATATACTCTTGGTTACTTTTTGATTATCATTTTAAAGTGTCTTCAATTTGTATGCCAACTGCCCTGTTCCCACAATCTAATCCTCCCTTTCCTTTAGGTTTGGGAGGAGGTTACTCTTCATTTGTGCTTTACTGCAAGCAGCTGTCACTGAAACCTGTGCAGCACTTGCCCCCACCTTCCTCATCTACTGCATACTACGTTTCCTGGCAGGGGTTTCCTTCTCAACTTTTTCGACAAACAGTGGCTTGCTCAGTAAGTCAAAGCTTTTGATGGACATTTCCCAAGCTTTGGTTTTGACCTGGATGTCCTTCCCACCTTAATTGGAAGTCAAGATTCATTTTCTTTTCTTTCAGTAATAGAATGGACGAAACCTAAATTCCAAGCCATGGCAACATCACTGTTACTATGTGCTGCAGCGACTGGACAGGTAACATTGGCAGGCCTGGCTTTTGCTGTTCAATCCTGGCACCACATCCAGCTGGCACTGTCTGTGCCAATATTTTTCTTACTTGTACCCACAAGGTATGAATTTCCTTTCTGTTCTGTCTTATGGAATCCTGGGATGACAATGCACATGGAATCAGGACAAAAGAAATGCATTTGTTCTTGGTCTGCACCTGACAGCATGTGCTCCACTTTGTATTTTGTGACATGAGGACAAGCAGGACTCTCAGATGAACCAAGGATACTGAATTAAACTTGAATTTAAGATTATAAGTCTTTTTTTCAGATTTATTTATTTATTTATTTATTTATTTATTTATTTATTTATTTATTTATTTATTTATTTATTTTGTATACAGTGTTCTGCCTGCAGGCTGGAAGAGGGAACTGGATCTCATTACAGATGGTTGTGAGCCACCATGTGGTTGCTGGGAATTGAACTCAGGACCTCTGGAGGAGTAGCCTGTGCTCTTAACCCCTGAGCCATCTCTCCAGCCCCGATTATAAGTATTTTTATAAAATTATATACATGTATAACAAGAGATATAGTTATACTGAGAACTCATTATTTATATGAAGTTTCTAATTGTGAGTTCTGATTTTTTTTATTAATAACTGGATAAAATGTATCCCCTTGTATTCATACTATGGAAAATTGGTAATTTCTGAGGAAGAATATTCAATACATACATAGTATCACTATTAGATATGGTATACTTAATAAAAATGTGTACTATTTGATACTTAAACTTTATTATACATAAGTTAATTTTATTTACTAGGAAAAAAACTACCCTATAAAAGAGAGAGTAGCAATGAGTCCTTATCAGAATGTTCTTGGTCTTCCTGTGTGTCTTTGCTACCAAGCTTTATTTACTCAGGTTATAATAGAATTTTTGCAAAAATATTTCATTTCATTACAGGAAAATTTTTAAAGATTCGATTGCTGTTACTGTAGTTTGTATGAGTAACTGTAAAAAGAAAAACATTTTGGAAACTGTTGTGACATTTATCTTTGCAGGTGATATGCATAAAAGACAGGAAGTAAATTTATCCTCACTGTTTAATGAAAGAAGAACATACATGATTTCTCTAGATTAAAACTGTAGGCAGGGGCCTGGAGAGATGGCTCAGTGGTTAAGAGTTCTGGATGCTCTTCCAGAGGACCAATGTTTGATACTTAGCACCTACATAGTGGTTCACAACCACTTATCCACTTCCAGGGAATCTGATGCTCTCTTCTTCACATGCATTCCTGTGGTACACAGAAATATGAACAGGCAAGACACCCTTTCACATAAAAGTAAAGCAAATAAAAAGAAAATCTTAAAAACAACGGTAGGCAGAATGACTCATTCATCTCATTTGTTCTTTACATACCCTTTTTTTCCTTTCCATTTTTTAAATTTTAATTTAATTAAAAAAATTTTTTTGAGACAGAGTCTCACCACACAGCTCTGGCTGTCCTGGGACTTGCTTTGTAAACCATCCTGATCGTGAAATCACAGAGATCCATCTGCCTCTGCCCATCTCGTGCTAGGATTTAATGTGTGTGCTACCAAGTCTGTCTCACTTTTTTTTTTTGGTTTGAAAGTTTAAATTTTTTATTAGATATCCAAATATGATGTATGTATCTCAAATTTTCAAAAAGTTTATTCTTTGAAGTTTTCATGTATACACTGTATACATGAATAGAATGTATCTTGATCACATCCATACCTCACTATCCCCTTCCAGCTCCCACCAGGACCCCAATCACATCTTCCCAGCTTTATGTACTATTTATACTTACATATTTATCTCTCTGAGTCCAATGAGCACTGCCCATGTGCTCCTGGGTGTAGGATCATCCGCTGGGTTATGGGGGAAGCTATCAGTGACCACATTTCTAAAGTGACTTTCTCTTTTCCAATAGCCATCAACTGCCAATAAATCCTCAGCTAAGGGTGGAACTTGGGGTGCCCATCCCCCTTCCTGCTAGAATTTTTAACTGGCTTGATCTTGTGTGCTGTGAGATCAGGTAAAACAGCCATACCGTGTTGAGAGGAAAGCATTCCACAGCTCTCCTTTCCACCTTCTAGTGCTTACATTCTTCCTGTCTCCTCTTTCACCGCTTTCCCTGAGCCCTGGTTGGGGAAGTGTTCATATAGATGTCCCATCTATGGCTGAGAACTCAGTCACTTATTCTCAACATCCTGAAGAGTTATGATGCCCTGCATTAACCGCTGCCCTCTTCAAAAACAAGTTTGTCTAACTAACGAAAATATGAATATAAATTGAGTTTGACAATCTGAGCACACAGCAAAACATCAATAATTCTTTGTAGAAAGAGTCTGGAAGTGTTCCTTTCTTAACTATTTTATGGAATAATTTGAAAAGTATTGGTGTTAGTTCCTTGAGATTCTGGTAGGATTCTGTGCTGAATGCATCTGGGCCTAGAGTTCTTTAGGTCAGGACAATTTTATTTATGCTTCAATTTCATTGCTGGCTATGGACCTGTTTAAATTATTTCATCTTGGCTTGATTTTGTTATGTTTCATGCAACTAGATATTTGTCCATTTCTTTTAGATGTTCCAATTTAATGGACAAGAGATTTAAAAATATGTCCCCATGATTTTCTGAATTTCATTGGTATCTTTTATAATGTTTCTACTTTCATTTCTAATTTTTCTCATTTGGGTCACTTCCCTCTTTTGATTAATTTGGCTAAGGGTTTGCCAATCTTGCTTGTCTTTCTAAGTTTTTGTTTTCTTTTCTTAATTTTGGCCCTGATTTTGATTATCTATTCCATCCACTGTTTTTGGGATTGGTCTGTTCTTGTTTTTCCAAGGCCTTAAGATACACCATTAAATTATTAACGTGAAATCTCTCAAATTTTTTTGATATAGGCACTTGTACTACAAAGTCCCCTCTTAGGATTGCCTTTATTGAGTTCCATAGATTTTGGTATGTTGTGTTTTTATTTCATTCAGTTTTAGCAATTAAAATTTTCCTTCTTGATTTCTTCCTAGTCATTATTTAGGTTCCAGGAATTTGTGTACTCTCTGTAGTTTCTATTGCTATTGATACTCAGCTTTATTTCTGTGTGGTCAGATAGAATATAGGTTGTTTATATTTGTTGAGGTTTGCTTTGTGTCTTAATATGTAGTTGATTTTGGAGAAAGTTCCATGGGCTGCCACTGCAAAGGATGCATACTATTTATTGTTTGAGTAATGTTCTCTAAATGCTTGTTATGTTCATTTTATTTTATGTTATTTCATACTAATTTTTAATTTAGATTTTTACATATAAATAAAACACCTAAAATATTGGAGCTGCAACATATATGTTAGCTCTTAACATTTATAGCATGTTTATGTTTTAAGCAGATGCATGAATATGTTAGACATAAAAGAAAAAAACTTATCTCATTTAAATGATTGACTTAGTGAAATTGAGAACAATTTTAATGTTTTTTTCTTTCCCAAAATAAAGAGATTCTTCCTTTTTCTTTCCCAAAATAAAGAGATTCTTCTTCTTCTTCTTCTTCTTTTTTTTTGTACTCTGTTGGTGATCCTTGTGTCTGTAGTTCCTGTTTGCTTACCTAGGTTTTCTATTTCCAGAATCCCCTCAGTTTGTTTCCTTTATTGCTTCTATTTCCATTTTTGGGTCTCAAACAGTTTTATTTGTTTCCTTCAACTGTTTGTTTGTCTTTTCTTGGTTTTCTTTAAGGGATTTACTCTTTTCCCCAGTTTTTTGTTTGTCTTTTCCTTGATTTCTTTAAGGGATTTATTCACTTCTCTTTTAAGGACCTCTATTATCATCATAAAGTTGGTTTTAAGGTCTTTTTCTTGTGCTTCAGCTGTGTTGGAATATTCAGGGCTTGCTGTAGTAGGCTAGCCAGGCTCTGGTAGTGACATTTTGCCTTGGCTTTTGTTGATTGTGTTCTTATGCTAGGGTCCAGGCATCTGAGTTAGGGATGATTATAGGTCTAGGTGCCTGTTTCCTGGTTTGTGATTTTTGGATTGGTGTTTTGTTTCTTGGTTTTTGTTTCTTCTTGGTCTTCTGGCCTGTGGCCTGTAGTTGAACAGAGTGGGGTAGGGTGAGGTGGGAGGGGGTGTCTCCATTGGAGTTGGAGGTTGTACTTCTGGTGTCCCTCTGGTTTGGCAGGGGAGTCTCTGCCTGATTTGAGGTCTGGGACATGGTGACAAGGAAGGGATGGGGAATTGGGGGAAGGGTAGAAGGCACTGAGAAAGTGGGGGAGGGCCTCAGGTTGGTGGCTGGAGGGGCCTCTTATTCTTTTGTTTTTAAAAACAGTTTTTTTTTTTGTTTTGTTTTGTTTTGATCTATGTACTGAAGAGACTGGAGTATTGAAGTCACCCACTATTACTGAATGGGAGTCAATTTGGGATTTTAGAATTAATAGTATTTCTTTTATAAAATTGAGTGCCGTTGTTTTTGGCACATATATATTTAGAATTATGGTATCTTGTGGTGGATTATTATGTTAATGAGTATGGAATGACTTACTTTATCACTTCTGATTAGTTTTGTTTTGAAGTCTGTTTAGTCAGATATTAGAATATTTATCTATGCCTACATGTTTGTTGGGTCCATTCGTTTAGAATCTATCTTTTCACTTTTTAATTCTAAGGTGATATCTATTTTTGTTTTTAAGTTTTGTTACTTAGAAGCAGCAAAAAGAGATTCTGCTTTCTAATACAATCTGTTAGTCCCTGTCTTTTTATTGGGGAACTGAGACCACTAATATTATTATTGAATTTTGTATATTTATTTCTGTCATTTTTTGTTTTTATGCTCTTTTCTTAGACCTCTTTAGATGAATTGTTCTGAAATTGTTCATTTATTCCCTGTGACTTCTTGTGTGTGTTCATTCTTTTCTTGAGAGCAAATATTCCTTCTAGTGTCTTCTGTAGAGCTGGCTCAGTGGTCAGAAATTCCTTAAATCCGTTTTTATCATGACAAGTTTTAATTTTCCATTAATTTTAGTAGATAGTTTTGCTGATTATAATATTCTTGGTGGATAATTGTTGTCTTTCAGAAGTTGGAATACATCTTTCCAAGCTCCTTTGGGTCAAAAAGTTTCTGTGAGATAATCAGGAATTATTCTGATGGGCTTGCTTTATAAGTTATGTTACTTTTCTCTCTTAGTCTGTGTTTTTAATGTTTTAACTACAATATGTTGTGGGGCCTTCTTTTTCCTGGCCCCATCTAGTTGGAGTTGTGTAGGCCTATTATACCTGGAGGACGATTTTTTTTCTCTAAGTTTAAGAAATTTTCTGATATGATCTTTATTGAAAATATTCTTCATGCCTTTGCTATGGTGTTCTTCTTCTGTGCCCATAATCTGAAGGTTAAGTCTTTCTGTGGCGGTCCAGACCCTTTACACTTTCTGTTCCTACTTCTTTTTAAATTTACTATTGACTTTTACTGAGTGATCCAATTCCTCTCATTGTCTTCCATTTCTGATACTCTTTGTCACATGTCCATTTTATCAGTGAGGGTTGCTACTGAGTTTTTTATTTGGCTTACTGAGTTTTTCAATCCTAGCATTATTTCAGTTTTGATTTCCTTCAGTAATCCTGTCTCTATTTTCACTCCTTGGATTGACTTCTGTACTAGCTGCTTTTCTGCTGCTGTGATAAAACACCATGACCAAGGCAGCTCACAGAAGGAAGGGTTTATGGTTCTAGAAGGATAAGAGTCCATCGTAGCAGCAGGCGGCAGGCATGGAGGCTTCTAGAAAAAACTGAGGGTTCACATCTCAAATTACAAACAGGAAGCCAAGAGATTGAACTAGAAACAATATGAATCTTTAAACAAGGCTACATTTTCTAAACCTATTCAAACAGCGCCACCAACTGGGGATCAACTATTCGAGTGCTTTAGACCATCTTATTTAAGCCATCACAAGTTCCTCATTCCTTCATCTCTTTTTGTTCTCTAGGAGTGTATTTATGTCTCCTTTGACTTGTTTGAACATACTTATAATTATTCCTTTGAATTCTTTGTTCAGTAGTCCTTCCAAGTTATTTTCATTTGGCGGAGTTGGCGTTTTCTTTGGGCCACCAATTTGCTGTTTCTACTTAGTGTGCTGGCTGCTCCAAAGCTCTGCTGTGCTGCAGTGCCTCTTAAAGGAGCCACATCCATTTTTTTTTTCTGTTTTTGTTCTTTAGCTTGTTTCCTCTCTTTTTTCTTCAGCTTTCTCAGGCCCTATGTGGAAATTGGGGCACCATGTTGGGTGCCATTTGTAGTTGGTATTTTCTTTGAGCCACCAACCAGCTCCCAAATAAAGACACGGAGATTTATTAATTATGAATGCTTGGCCTTGGCTTAGGTTTGTCCTACTAGCTCTTTTAACTTAATTTAACCTGTTTCTATTTATCTGCATTTTGCTTCAGGGATTTTTACATTTCCTTCATTCTATGTCCTACTTTTCTGCTTACTCTGTGTCTGTCTGTCTGGCCCCTGACATCTCCATGTCATCTCCTTTTTCTTTCTTCCCTTGAGCCTAAATTCCTCCTCCTACTTATTCTCCCTGCCCCGAAGTTCTGCCTATACCTCCCACCTCACTACTGGCTGTTCAGCTTTTTATTAGACCAATCAGGTGCCGTAGGCAGGCAAGGTGAAACAGCAACACATCTTTACACAAATAAATGCAACATATCTTTACATAGTTAAAATAATGTTCCACAATGTGAACAAATGCAACACATCTTTGCATAGTTAAACAGATATTCTGCAACAATTAGGTGCCATTATTATGGGAGCAGTGACTTGTGGAGGAGAAATGCTGTGTTGGTCTTCCACTTTATTTCTACTTCTGTTATGGGACTTGCACATCTGGAGTTAATTTGTTGGTTGTGTTTTCCTTTATCCTTTTACATTTTTATTTACTAAAGTTATGTCTCCTTTAAAAGTTTCAGTAAAGTCCTACTAGAGCTGAGATGCTCCTTTTCTCTCTGGGACTGGTTTTTAGGGCTGGAATATCTAGTTCTATTGTTTCTCTGAGGGTCAGATATTGTCCTGTGTCAGTGAGGCCCTCTTGACTGGGTTTGCAGCTCTTGCTGTGAGTTAAGGAACTCTTTACATGCCTGTGGTCTTTACCCAGAGTCATATCTGGCTCACCCTAGTTTCTCAGCTACTGCTAGAGCTACTAGGAGATGTGGAACTTTCCACACATCTGTAGTCTTTTCTTTCTTTCTCTCTTTCTCTCCTCTCTCCTCTCTCCTCACTCCTCTCTCCTCTCTCTCTCTCTCTCTCTCTCTCTCTCTCTCTCTCTCTCTCTCTCCCACCCCACTCCCTTTTTTTT